TACTCGGGAGTACCACCGGCGTGAAATGGTTTTCGTGCAACACCTCAAGGAACCGTGGGATAATAGCGTAGTTGGACTTGTAAATTGTGGTGATCGTGACCTCCTGTAAAACCGTAGGATAGTGTCACAAGGAATTGACTCGCTGGTATGTCGTATTGCTAGGGAAAGAAGAGACAAGAAAAGAACACAAGAGTGGACCCAATTGAACAAGGGTGGAACATACCCAGAGTCCTGCTACCAAAGCATCTGACTGGCTTTATATCCCGCTAGTCATCCTCTACGAGCTGGTATTTGAAAACCCCTCTACAGCTGTGATGAAGTACTGTACTACTAACATTTGAGTCCATTTCGCACATCACAGCCCAAATCTCCTCCCACTTTCCTATGCCCTTCCTTATACCTTTACGGGAACAAAAATGAAAAAGGACACATTTGACGACACGGTGGACAATTGGTCCGATACGTCGAGTCTGAGTCCAAACCATTTTGAAATTCAAGCCTCCCTAATTCCTATTATAAACAAATTCCGATACGAGCCAGCCCGTGGGCTGATTACAATAGTTCAGGATATTGTTAACTCTGGTTCTATCGAAGAATAATTACATCTCGTTCAGTTAAGATCGGCTGTACATTTTACATTCGAGAACTCTCTGAATGCGGCTATCATTCTCTCATGATTGAGGTTAGCTACTTGGTCAATGTTCCCAATCGTCCGGGGCGCCCTTACAGGGCCCTGGCGGGCCGTAGTCCCAGGCGTCCTTCTTTCGTAAAGACGGCCATCCAAAGGGTTGACGCCCGGGCCCCGCATCCTTAGAACAAATAGCATCTCCCGGCGGTTATCTGCAGGTCCCAGTCACTACCTGCAGGGCCCGCCCGTCCGTCCCGGGCAGTGGTCTGGATGGAAGCCAAGATGCCCGTCCGGAGCGGGCATCCACCCATGCACTGCCGTCCATCCGGTCCGCACCCAAGGACGGACGGACTTGACTTGTTTCATTTAGACGCACACTGGTGGTTACTTCACTCACAAAGAAAAACGAGATGTGTGATTATTGCGAAAATCACTCGCGATCCTTTTACTATTCACTTGGAATGCTGGCGGATGCTTCCGGTTACTTTATCGTACTGGTCACGATACGAGGCAGACACCGGTCCGGAATCCGAAATGCGTTCAAGAATTCGACATTAATGCTGCCGGGGTAGCGGTGTCCCAAATTGCCCCCACTAAGCTCGAAATATTTACCATATGACTGTATATTTGATGGATTTTCTCACCATGCACAACCAATCGAGTTCAGCGTTGACGAACCCTCCCACTTTACTGTCAGGTTGTTTCGAATGCTCAAGTGACAGGTAATTTCTATTATTTCGATTCTTGACCATAAGTTAACATGGACATTACTGACATTCGGATTGTATTATGCTTGGTACAAAATCAGCGGAGGAAATAAGGTTATAACCATTATTTGTCCTGGGCCATGCTAATCATCCTTGTTTGTTGTCGTCGCTACTCCATATAATACCAACACGATGAGCGCTGTACTGTACAGTACCCAATAGTTCACTGTCTTTTTTTTTTTTTTAACTATTTTTTTGCCCCCTTTTTCTTCTTCTACAGAATCCTGGTTTTTACTATCATAGCACTCTAGTACTTTGTTCCACAGGATACGTGTATCCTACCTAATACTCACCCACAGAATTGAAGGGAAGGTGGGATTCCTAGATATTTTCTATTGATCTTTCCCCAATTCTTTTGTCTTTTCCCCATCAAGTTGCGCTGCTGCTGCGTTCACTGTTGGCTTGGATAGTTGATTTCGTTGGCTTGCGAAAAAGAAAAAGAACAAGGGTCAACTTTCCTTGGCCCGAACATTGCCAAGTTTTCCGGCTCCTCTTGGGTTTTAGCAACTTTTACTTGGTCGAAATTTGATGAGTGAAGCCCGTATCAATTCCCAATCCTGTCTCTCCCTCTCTCTCTTTTTCCTATATCATACCGGTATCATTCTGCTCTCTGAGTCGGTGTGGGTGACCTGCCAGCCAATCGCACACTTTGCCTCACTTGCCCCCCCCCCCCCTTGGGTGCAGGGTAGTCTTCGATTTCAGATGCCAGGCACCGCCCAATCCCTTACATAGCAACGCCTTGCCCGGCGAAGAAATGTATCCCCCGAGCACTGTACGAGTACTTGTACAAGTACCTGTAGTTTCGGATGACTAGGTACTACCGACCTGCAGCTTATGGTTGGTCGAGGAGGCGCAACGGCTTACGGTGGCACCTGCACTCGTACCCAAAAACGGGGCAGCGAATTTGTACAGTACTCGTACTGTATGATACCATACTCGAATAGGCGCTCGGATAGGCACTATGTATGGCCTTTGGCATATTTTTCGAATCCCTGTTTTCCAGTGCTTGTTTGCCTACTGTGCCAAATTGTTACTATTAATACCTTATGGATAGGGAACTGTGTAAAGCGTTAATATTCAATGCTCATGAAGAGTATAACAGGAAAAAACTACACCATAACGGCGCTCGTATCGTATCGTATCGTATCGTAGCTATTCTCGCTCGGGTGCGGGTGGGTCAACCGGTTGCCCAGACGAGATCCTCTCTCTGGGAAGCGTTCTGTCGGTTGCGGAAGGATGCAGATCTTAGCATTTGAGTGGTTAATCGGATCAACCTCGTGAAAAGTACAATGTCGCTGGACAAATAGGCCGCTACTCTGGCTAGTTATAATAGAAGGAAGAAAAAAAAGTCAACGAGAGTGCCGGTAGGGAAACAAAGAAAAAGCAAAGCAACAAAGAAAACACTCGGCAAGCATATCACAACATCGGTTTCGCACGTAGGGGACGGTGGCCGATCCAGGGGACAATCCAACGAGGGGGCGAAGCGCAGGGTGTAAGTGAGCGAGCGAGTGACCTCTCATGACCATGGGATGGCGAGAAAAGAGAGCAATGATAGCTCAGGAGCAATCACTCGAGATTCAATCTCTTTCCCTACCGTATTCTACCGTGAGGGCGCCGGGGATTGGGGAGGGGGGGGAAGTTTCTCATCCTGGATGGGTTTAGGATGGGAAATTCGCCACCAGCGCTGATCGTTGATAGACTTTTGTCGGTGGATGGGGGGCGTTCCACCCGTTCTGGGAGAATTTAGTTGGTGCGGCAAACTCGAAGGGAAAATTTGACGTCCAAGAAATGGGCTGAATCGCAGCTCCATTTAAGCGCGAAGGCAGAAATAAAAGGAACCGTCCTTTTCGGGTTAAGCTTGATCCGTAAGTGGAAGTACGGTAACGAATTTCTATTAGGAGCGGCGGCTGAACTGGTGCTTGCACAGTATTTGGCTCGACCGGATTGAGTAGATTTTCGCTCGAGACATAGTCAGCGCTTAAGTGTAATTTTGTCCTGGGTTCACTTTTTATTTTTGTGGGATTTTTTTTTTGGGATCGCTGGTGGTCCGGGTCGGGTTCACATCAGTGAGAAGTATCATATTCGGAGGATCATTGGTGGGTGGTTCATATGCCCTAATTACCGGTAATGGTACTGCACAGTGCGATGAAATATAGCAGGAAATTGAGCAAAACTCACTTTATTCTGGCGCCCAAAGTCTCAACTGATCGGAGGAGGAGGAGGAGGAAGAAGGACATTTTTGGTATTTTTGCCCCGACAACATTCATGGATTACTTGATGGTATTATACTTGTATCATAAGCTGCCAAGCGAGCTGGGCAAAGGAGAAACAACTTTCTTCACAAGGACCAGGCTGCGATACAAGCAACTTGTCTTTATCATACTACTATTATAACATATACGGTGCTGTGCATCGGGTGTTCTGCGGTTGGATCCCGTGTCTCTCTCAAGACCACGAGCATACAGTAGAGGAGGACAGGCGTTCATTCTACTGAACCTCACCATGTTGAATGCCCCGTTGCTCCCCCCCCTTTCCTCGAAGGGACGAGACAGCGGAATAAAGCAATGAAGAAGAAGAGATAGGAAACAGGCGCTACATTTCGTTTGACTGTCGGTCGCTTATCTCCAGCTTTATCCCCTTCCCGCCCGCACCGGTAGTCGATCCCGTCTAGACGACAGCTTTATTGCGGTTTGTCTGGCGCGCAGATTTCTTCGCTCGCCGTGCGGGTCGGCTCGCCACGATTATGGACGGTTTTAGGTGGCGGTGCTGGGTTGCTCGTTTGGACTATCCTCACAAACCCCGAATAAGAGATAATGGTGGACCATCTCGTGGGGAACCTCACAAAAGCCGATCGAACAACTCATGGATTCATCACCACCGTAACAAAGACTGCAGGGGTTGGATACGGTAGCAGGAAGCGGCCTCTCAGACGGTGGCTCAAAAAAGTCATGGAGTTGTGCCATACAGCACCCTTCTCAGCTGGGGGATGATAGTGTTGATGTTTGAGTTGAGTTTCTTGTAGGTTTCCCATCGCGGGTTTTCCCTTTGATCTCTGGAGAGACTGGATCATGCTGGAGCTATCTGTGCTTTCGAGTTTATCCATTGTGATGCTCCCCGCCCTATCAACCAGTCTACCCACCGTATGCATGGTGGGGTACGATACATGTCTCCAGCGCCAACAAATATGCGAGGCTCTTACAAGTAGTGTATGATGCATCGCACTTTCGTTTGGGTTTGGTGGGGATAGCTGCTTATGTTTACCTGTCTGTTGCATGCTGTAATATCATACGCGACAGTATATTTTTGAACAATCCTTCATGGTTGGTTGCTGGTGCAGTTACATATGATAGACATGCTGATCCATCAGTGCCAATCAGCACTTGCTGGCGCTCATCCCCTGTCTTCCTTATGCGAGTAGAAGGTTTCACCATCCTGTGAGCCACAAAATCTGAATCAGGGACCCTTTCAAGCTTATAATCTAGCCCCCTCCCAGTTTCCCCTGCTTTCTTCTGTTTCCCCCTCTTTTCCTTATTCTTCTTCCGCTTCACGATTTTCTTTTTAACGTTACTTTACGTTCCTTCTGCTTTTCTTTCTTCCTTCCTTTCGACTGGAAAGTTTTACGTTCCTTACAACTGGCTTGTCTTCATTCTTTTTTTCACTTTTTTTCACTGCTGAATTAGTCGACCCCCAACATTCCTCGCGCATATTCCGTACGGGTACGGTTCGATATTTTGCGATGCGAAAATCACTCATCTCCGCCTTTCTCTTCCTCACTCTCGCTCGGGCCAGGGTTAGCTTCAATACAACGGTTAAGGGTTTCGACTACGACGGTATTGTTCCAGCCACTGGTCTGAGTGAATCCTGCGCAGAGGCGTATGCTGCACGAGTCTCCTGCACAGATCACCTCTTCAAGCTGAGAGACTTGGAGAAGGGCAGCAAGCTATTCCGCACTAAAGAACTCGCCCAATTTTGCACTCAGGATTGTGTGGATAGTTTGAATGAGTGGGACACAAATCTCCAAGGCAGCTGTGATGATAGGGACAAGAATTTTGCGAATAGTCTTGGGTCGGGAGTTTACTTGGGGATGGCGTTGAAGGATAAGCATTCTGTCCAGGAGAACCTCTATTGGTCCTTTTGTTTGAAGGACGAGTGAGTAGGCCCCTATCATTTTGACTTTATGACTGCAGAATTTGGCTAACAAACGTTCAGGAAATCGGGAGAAAAGAACGACTTCTGCCTTGCCAAAAGCGATGACCTACCCGCCTGGCCCTCAAACACTGCCGGGAACGCTTCCGATACGGCTCTTATCTCGGATTTCTGCAAGAGCAGCTGTAGGACTCAGCAATCATACCTCATGCATAGATCCGCCAAGCACCTCGGATTCTCCGCTATTGATCTTGCAGACGCTGAGAAAATTTGCCCTGGGCTAGACGTCTCTACCTTCCCCGTTAGCATCGAGATGCTCGATGCCTTCGGGAGCTCTGCCGACCCATCGCCCGGACGGCCGGATGCTTCCAAACAGGCCGGCGAGGATGCAGGGCAAATTGAGGGGACAGAGTACGATTGGGACTTTTACAAGAGCGATTTCGGTTCTGGAACCGCCGCCTCTCTTCGCGTTAGCTCCGCGTTTGCCTTTTTCGTCGGAGTAACAGCCATCATCGCCATATCTTTGTAACTCTGGTTGATCGTTTATTTCGTCCATGCCTTTTTTCTTTCATCCTTATCCTTACTTTACGTTCAATGTAAATCTAGATCTAGTATAGTTATTTCTTTCTTCCATTTTTTTTTTTTTTTTCCATTTAGAGGGGGGGGGGGGACAGCGGAATCAGGGGTTTCTGGGTTTCTGTTTTTAAAAGTGTTCAAAGTTGGAGGAAAGGTTATCATACTGGAATAACCCCGGCATTACCTTGGCTAAAGAAATACGAGTACTCGTAGAAGAAATAAAAAACAAATTCGGAATGTGATGGGATGGGTAAGAAATTGCATAGGATCTCCTCCAATGCCCGGCACAGTTACTGTAGGGTGCAGTAGATAGAGTTTTTGCCCAGGATGTATCATTTTAGAATCCTTGTCCCACACGCTTCTCCGTTGCACAATGCGGAACGCCTGCTGGTCACTGATAGTCACTCGGGATTCGGTAATACCGAGACAATGGTATAGTACCTGTGCTGGGGCGCCTTCAGATCTGGCCTCAGTCAGATATGATTGAATTGCTCCATTCGTCCCTTGCCTTGCAGCGCGAGACACCCAGAACCATTCGTTAAGCACCCACGACACCCAACGATCCTTATCGATCATAACGCTATATAATAAATGGCGACAGCAAAAGATGTTCTTACATACCTTCCCAATGCGCCGAAATCTTAACTTGGGGGTTGTCGGTCAGACGGCTCGATTACATAAGCAGGTCGGGGAGGCTTTGTCAGAGAGCACTAGACTAGTCTAGGTTGAGCCATCTGTTTATTGTAGTTATTAACCGAACCGAACGTACTCACAGTACCGTACGAGTACGAGTGGACCACCATAGCCTTCAACCAACCTTGTCACTGGCAGGGGGTACCGTACTCGTACAGTACGCTTGCTGCCAAGTGAACTGTATCACCATATGTATTCAGGTCTTCTCGCTGAGGGTGTGTGTGTGTAAACCTTTTATTCAACTACAATCTCACCTACTAACAAAAGTAATCGGAGTACGGCATGAGATACAGCCCCCAGCCCTGGGCCCCCCTTAAAGAAATCCCCCTCGCGGGCCACCTGCCACAAAACAATCATAACATCAACACGCAACAAAAGAAACAACAGCCCAGTGCCCGCACCTACACCCAACCCTACCCCTAGCAACATTAGCCAAGCGTCCACGGCCCCCTGTCGCAGGCGCCACCCGAAGGCGGTTCCCCGGGGAGCTCCCCATTAAGCGACTGTGCCCCCAAGCCATTACAGCAAGGGTGATACCGCAATGTCGACAACAAAACCGAACGGTCGGTGGAGTTCGGGACAGGTCAGTCGTCGTCATAGTCGTCTGGGCCAGATGAGGAAATGTAGATTGCCGAGCCGTCACCGCCAAGCATTTGGCCGCGCCCCCGAAGGGGGGCGGGCCACACCAGTCGAGCCACACCCCAAAAGAGGAGGTGGCGAAGGTCGATTTCTCCGGGTCAAAGCCATCCCCCCCATAGGGGTTCAGGAACACCGGGTTTGCGTGGGGGCCCAGCTCGAAGCTGGGAAAAGACAGTGAGGGGCGCAAGGCCCTAAGGGCCCAAGCAGGAGAGAAGGAGGACCAAGGAGAAACCGGAATCGCATGAGTGTCCGAACGGTCGCTCCGAAGAGGGGGGGAGGACGGCCTCCTTATACGACCAACTGTATCCTGGCCGGAAACCAAGGACGCCCGACCAACAAGCAAGAGCAAAAGAACGTGGGGGAAAACAAGGACCGTAAGGTCCACTCGGTGCCGTATCAATAGGCAAACAAAAGAAAGCGAGCCAACGGAGCACAAAATGTGAACCTTCCGAAGGTGGTAGGAAGTGTAAGGACGTTGAAGCCATCGTGAGAAGCTCTCCAAGGGCGTTTGATTGGGTGAGCCCCCCGAACACTGCACTGATACACCTAACCCTCAGAGTTGAAAAGAAGGAGACTGTGTGTGTGTGTGTGTGTAAACCTTTTATTCTTCCACTATCTCACCTACTAACTAAAGTAATCGGAGTACGGCATGGGATACTGCCCCCAGCCCTGGGCCCCCCTCAACGAAATCCTTCGCTACACCCCCCTGTAGGCCATACAAAAGAAACTCCCACTCCCTTCTTCCCCTCTCCCTCAAACAACTTTGGTCCGCCACAAAGGAAACCCATTCCTGCCCCTCGGCCCCATGGTCGTAGACAAAATAAAATCCAACAACAAAAGAAACCCATTCCTGCCCCTCTGGCCCCATGGTCGTGAACAAAAGAAATCCAAACCAACAAAGGAAACCTACGCCTGCCCCCTGTGCCCCGTAGTCGTGAACAAAGGAAATCCAAGCAAACAAAAGAAACCCACGCCTGCCCCCTGTGCCCCGTGGTCGTGTACATTATGAAATAACCATCTGACCAGCATTACTCCCCTGGTCCACTGGGCGCCTCCTCCGTGTCTTCCGCCGTCATAGCCTAGCGACCCCTTCTTGCTGGGTCGTGTATCCTGGCATGTGCCGACTCATGCTGCATGTCTCTCAGTACCATTTCCCCGCATATCTTGTAGGGTCGCCGTGGCCTGGGTTTCACTGGTGCCTGTGTTGGCTGGCTTGTGGGTAGATTAACGTTGGCTCCTACTACTTGGGCGGTGTCTGGTTGTTGGGTGCCGTCCCCACTCCCGGCCATTTCTGGTTTTCCCTTAAGTTCGTGTGGCCAGCCGTCCATCCACTGAAGGAGTTCCCCTTGCCTCTTGTTATCGTAAAGCCCTATCGCTGTGGCGGTCGTTATCCCGCATCTGTTTGCTAGGTGGTCAAAGGTTATTATGTCCCGATCGCACGGGCATCTCCTTCTGGCACCGGTTATCTCCTGGTATGGCCAACCTGCCGTTGCCCTTAGCCCTAGTAGCCTTTTAAAGTTTTGCCTAGTTATGGCGTGCAGGTGTTTGTGCGCTTTGCCGGGCCTTCCTTGGTATCTGGTCCCTTCGTTGGTGATCCTTTCTGCCCAGTCTTGTTGCATCCGGTTTTTGAGTGCGTCTTTGCCCAGCTGGTAATTGCTGGTGGTGGCGATAACGTTTTCTGCCCCGTGTTTGGCCATCCATTTCTTTGTCCAAGTGTTGTGGCGGTCTTTGGTGGTGGCTCGTAACGCCAGTAGGTTTTGTCTGAATTGCATCATGAGGTCTAGTGGTGGGATCCCAAGCTCGGTAAGGAAGGCCAGGACCGGTGTTTTCTTTTCCAGCCCGAAGGCGGTTCGGACTATCTTGTTGAGGGCCGCCTGCGCTTCTCTTAACAGGCCTTTGTTTCCCCATGTCTCTATCCCGTACGTCAGCTGTGGGATTATCAGACCCTTGATTAGCCGCAGTGTCGTCCCTGTATTCAGTCCCCCTTTGCTGTATCTAGACGTTACTGCCCTTATGCGGTGTCCGGAGCTGGTGGCTTTGTTGATCCAGTGCCTGACGTGGTGGTCCCATTTCCATTTGTCTGTTAGGAAGTATCTGAGCCATCTCAGGTGGCTTTGAGCGGGTATCTCTTGCCCCCGTTGGCGGACTTCGAACTTACTCTGTGGTGGGGTGTGCACGAAGATTGTTTCGGCTTTACTGGGTGCGAACTCGTACCCGTCTTTGCCTGTGGTTGCCTCAAGTTCCCTAATGGTTTCCTGGTGCAGCCTTTTTCCTTCTTTGGCGTCCTGGTATGTCGTTGCTATCAGGATGTCGTCCACGTACATCAGGACCTTGGTTTCCGCTTTTTGGGATGGTGTTGCCTGTACCTTTGCTGTCTCTAGCATGCTGATGAGGAAGAGTATTGGTGATAGGGGAGAGCCCTGTGGCGTGCCCTTGTCAGTGGCATATCCTTTGGACGTCCTGCCATTGAACCGGTAGCTGGTCGTCCAGTCGGTGGCCCAATGTCGGACCCATTGTAGCAGGTGACCCGAGTGCTTTCCGTGCCTTTCGCACACCTTACCCATCTGTAGGTGGTCGAATCCCCCTTGGACATCGAGGGTGGTGATGCATTTGCCGGCTTTTCCGGTTGTGTCCATTACGTTGTTTAGTGCTTGTATGGCGTCTGTCGTACCATACCTCTTTCTCCCTCCGAACATATTGTCTTCCAGGATTTCGAGCCTTGCTATCCGTATGACTGCTGCTCTTTCTAGTGTTTTTGCCAGTATAGATTGTAGTTGTATCGGCCTCCAGCTTTTTGCCACTGTATATGATGGTTTGTTAAGCTTGGGTATCAATATGGTAGTACTGACCTTCCAGCTTTCTGGGATTCCTTCTTTCCATGCCCGGTTCATCATTCTTAGGAATAGGGGCTCCCGTATTTTCCTAAAGCATTTAACGAGCCTGGTGGTGATGTTGTCTGGTCCGCTTGCTGCTCCGTTCGGTGACTGTTTGATGGCGGCGTCTAGGGTCTCTATTTGTAGTGGTTCGGGTTCGTCGTTTATTTGTTCCTTGGCCCGTCTCCTCTCTCCCCCGTACAGGGCCGTGTGGATTTCTTGAGTGATGTCCCCGTGTTCCACTACTACTTCGCCGTTTTCCTTGGACAAAGCCGGTATGGGGTGCTTGGTGGTCCTTGGCCGGACCGTCCTGAAACATTCAGGATCTGTTTCTTCTTGAAGGGCTTTTCCGTTAGCTTCGAGTTTGGCTTCCATTATAGCTTTCCTCAGGTTTTTCTTCTTTTCCTTTAGCTCTGGGTGCCAGGGGTGTTTGTGTGCGAGTTTGAGGACCTCCTTTCGTTCTTGTTGCAGGGACTTGTTCCAGAACGCCTTGCATCCTGGTTTCTTTAGGGGGGTGGGCCTTCTGACTATCCGCGTGAGTTCTTTTTGCACTTCGGCTGGGTGGTCCTTGTGGTCTTCCATGAGGCTGATCTCGGCCCTAATGGCCTCCCAATCCGCCTTGTCGTGCCTTAGCGGCTTTTCCCCGTCGTCCCTCCATGTGAAACTGGTCTTTATTGCCAGTGCCCTATGGCTTGCGGTTGCTAGGTCCAGTGTTCGTACTTCGATTTTTTGCTCTTTATCGGTAGCCACCAGGTCCAGGGTTGTTCCGTTTGGGTTGGTCGCATTGGGTGGGTGGGTGATTACGTGGGGGTTTCTTACTAACATATCCCTGTCGTCCATCCATCTGGCCAGCTTTAGTCCGGCCGTGTTCTGGCACCCCTGTGACCAAGTTGGGTGGTGTGCGTTCATGTCTCCTATTAGGATGTTGTTTTCCCCGTGTGTGTGCCATTGGTTTGTTATGTCGAAGTCCTTTACCGAGGGTCTCTGGTAGCC